AATCTGGGAGCAGTGCTGCCTACCTCAGTGTTTCTCTGGCACAGTGGGCTCCAAAGCCAGCTGGGCTGGGCAGACCCTGTATTTCTATCAGGTCCTGTGGGTGATGTGAGCAGAGGGTTTCCCAGCCTGTGGGATAAGTGTGGACTATGCGGTTTGATCACTGGTGACTCAGAGTTACCCCCGTCCCAGGCACAGCCACGCACCAGCACGACCTGGGACAGGGACAGCCGTGGCCACAGGGCATCCCTGCCCACCACTGGTGGTGTACCATCTCCTGCCCCATGACCTTTCTCACCAGGCTGGCAGCTGTGGGCTCAGGATACAGCCTTGTGGTTACAGGCGCAACCACTACCCTGACACAGGTGTCCTGTCTATCTGGCTCAAGGACTGAAATAAATTGAACAGAAACTCGAAGAACTCTGAAAAATGCTGTAGTGAAAGGTTTGGAAGGAAGCTGGAGGCACACAGACCCTATGGCTTTGTGGGTAAAGATGTCCACAAGGACATCTGGCACAGGGTACCTGCTTTATGCTTCCCAGACAGGGCTGTGATGAAAAACCATCTTGTCTGGAGGAGGGAGCTCACTCCCAGGCTCTGCACTGCCAGCTTGCAGCTGGGCTAATGTGAAGGAATGCACTCCCTAGCAATGCTTCCTTATAAATTATTTTTACTGGGAGATTTGAGTGTCGTTACAGTGAATGTGTGTACAAATACTGGAAGAACAATGTGTGCTAGAGAAAACGAAGTGAAAAACCACCCAGCTTCCTATTTCTCCTGGGTAAACCTGTGATTTCTCCCACCTTCTTGAGTTGCAGTCTAATACAATATTGTACAGCCTTCTGCCTCCTTAAATAATTCCTGCTGGAGTAGTAGACACCGAGTACATCACTCAAATCCCATGAAGTTGTTTAGCTTCCAGTTCCACATCCTGAGGAGTTAACTCTCTAGGAGAAGGGAATGATCTGGGAGTCCCTCGGGGTGCTCTCCTGGCACAGGATAACTCCTGGCATGGCACTAGAGCTGCATATTTTGCATGGGCTTCCAGTTTTACTGTCAGTCCTATTCTCCTGAGCTCCCATTTCCTCTCTTCCAGTTCCTCACACATCTATTGTGATTCAAATAAATGTGATATATTGATGCTTCACCAGTTTGAAATGAACTGCAATTACCAACAGAGGATCCATTTAATTTACTTCCAGCCATCTAGAAGCCAAACACCTGGCTTAAATGAATGGTCTATAGTCTGGGGGGAGGGATGGACATTGCCAGAAGTCAAATGCCTTCCTACCTATTTTAAATACCTTTTCTAAGCCAGGATGAACTGCATTCTGAAAGCACTCTCCATGTCTGTAGAGGAACTACAAAACCAAGATTTAGATGATTCAAGTGGTGACTTGAAACCCATCCTTGATATTTGTTTAGAAAGTAGCTGTGAAAGATGAGAACCAAAGAAAAAACCAAAGAACTATCTGTCAGTTATAAAATAAGTCTTGTCCTATAAATTGCTGCCTTTGCAAATAACAAGGATGTGGAAGAGGAAGAAGAAGGAGAGACTGAAGATGTCCCAAGAGAGAGAAGACCAACAGGGGATTTTTAATTATTTAACAACCACTGGAGTGTGAGATGAGGAGGTTACATCTACACAGGACTTTGAACACACACCAAGGCACTATAATTTTCAGCCCCTCACTCTCTGAGATGAATCAAAATTAATAATTGAGAGAAGAAAGTCTCTTGAACTGTTTGTCATCAGTTACATGTCTCTGTTACCTTGGAGCAACACCTGGCACCCGGCAGGTGCTGGGGGACTGCAGGGACACGGTGCCAACTGCACCAGGGTTTCAGTCCTTCTTCAGCCACTCTGCTGCCAGTTTCAAGTGCTTTAGGTGACTTTTTTTCATAAGTTGCACTCCAGCTTTTCACATAGTAGCAGCACATGTGGAGCAGCAGCTCAACAATACCAGTAAAGCTGCTGAGCACACAGAGAGAAGCAGTGGGGCTGGAGCAACAAGCTGGATTGGGATGGTGGTAAATGAAAGCAAAGCAAACAAAACCTGAGAGAGAGTCAACCTTTAGCCAACAAACTGATGCAATCAGAGCAACCACTTGCTTCTTGCAGCTCTTAACTGAGTTGAAGGAGTAATTCCTGAGGGACATAAGTCTGTTGAATGCATTGAGTAGAGAATAATGCTCTTTACTGAATGAGGTGGTCATGGACAGGACCCTTCTTTGCATGGCACTGAAACCTTTTGTGCCATGGTGGGGCTGCCTATACATTCCTGAGATGGGTTTTAACTCAGCATGGGTTGGGCACAAACCCTGCATGAAAGTTTGCAGAAGGGGATCCTGCAGCTGCAGCATTCACAGAGCCCTGGCCAGGCTCAGGCTGGCTCAGAGTGGTAGAGACTGACCCTGCCCACAAACAGCCTCTGTCTGCCTCCTTGGCCCCAGAGCCAGTTGCTGTGCCCCTGTGAGAGCCAGCAGTGGTTACTAAGCCAATCTTAAAGCTGCTAGTTCTGGCTACAGGCTCTTGTCCTGCCTTGTTGTCAGGGTGCCTCAGGACCAGGCAGCTCAGAGTCTAGACTGCAAGGGTGTTCAGCATCTAATATCTTTGGCTGTGAGACCACAGAAATCTCATTCCTTTAGGAAGAAGCTCAGGAATAGCACTTTTGCCGTCCTGCCAGCTGGGCATAGCATCTTTGAGAACGAAGAACACTGCCTTTGCAGCTGACTATAGGCACATTTTTCAGGCTTTTTTTTCTGAATTTGCATGCCACGGACACTGTTCTCAAATCCCTTAGACACCTAAATGAAGTCAGATTTAACCTTGGCTGATAAAGTATCGGCAGCTGCACAGTAAGATTTTCTGAAGTTATGGCTGCAAGTCTTGCACATATCTGAAAAACTCCACTGAGATTTTCATCAGCATTAGGCCATGAAAGGTTACTATAGGAAAAGAGAAGGATAAATCAAGCAAAACTATCAACAGTGGGAGAATATGCTATTTATTTACTACCATGTAAAGCTGAAAGAGGGAAAGACAGTAAAAATGAAAAATATTCGTTTTATTTTTTTTAACCATAAAGCTTTCCCCTTTCTTTCTTATCCTATATTTCATATTGAAAGGAGGAAAAGTGATAAACTTCCCTTTATTTTTGCTTTTTTTAGTCTAAGGAAACTGCAATGGCAAAATCAAAAGCCAGAATGTTTTTAAGATACTCCTTTCATCTCCCTTTGCTGAAACGCATAAAATTAAAAGGTAGTGTAGGACATCTATTAAATTACTTTTTTTTCTTCCACCTTTTTGCTAAACACAGCAGAGGAAAAAAGTCACAGAAAAAAAAAAACACGACTGAACAGGGCAGTTGCTTTGTCTTTCAGGCACAGATTCAAAAATATGGATAGGTTTATATATAAATACATATGCTGTAACCAAAACCTCAAATTCAAATACACCTGAGCTTTTGGGAAGTTTGTATATACATTCAATCTTTGTGGCTTAGGCTCATCTGTAACAGAAATATTTGCAAATAGACAGAATACTTCCTCTTTAATCTTATCTAGCAATCTGTCTGTTTGTCTGGGATTTTCCTAGAGATGGCCTCAGATCCTGATATCTGAGGGCTGCATGGCTAAATTAAGGAGAGATCATACACAACTTCACAGAGGCCTTTATTTTTTTCTATTTGCCATGAGCATGTATTTCATTTTAATCCACTGGGATGAAAGGCAGTAGCCTGGCTCAGCCACCACTGGCCCTAAGGGACCACCCTCGGGAAAATACATTTTGGCTGATGGTTCATAAAATAATAGAATGGTTTAGGTTGAAAGGGGACTTAAAGATCATCTAGTTCCAAACCCCTGCCCTGGACAGGGACACCTTCCACATGACCAGGTTGCTCCAAGCCCCATCCAACCTGGCCTGGTTGTTTGCACTATGGGCAGACTGTGGCTGACAGGCACAAGGGTTGTGAGTCCTCTTTCCTGGGGCTCTTCCAGAGCTCAGAGCACATCCCACCCTTCATCTCCCATCCCTTATGCCTCCATCAGACCAAACAGTGTCCAGTGGTACCTCATCAGCTGCTCTACAGGTCACGTGCCTCAGAGGACAAATTCTGGATTCTTGCCCAAGAGCTATTTCTTCGTCCACAAAGAGGATTGTCTGAGGTTTCACGCCTTCAGTGCCTCCTTTAGGCCAGCTGCTGCAGCTTGGCAATAGGGAAAAGATGGTGAAATGTCAGGATCTATCCACGCGTGCCTGGCTAATTGTTGTAAATTAGCTCGGCCTGTTTATGCACTTGAAGAACCCGAGGCACCACTGGCAAAGTAAGATAGATTGACTTCAGCTAAGCACCTCAGATCTTGATCTCTGGAGGACAAGAGGTGGTCGAGGCTGTTTAATAGCTGTTCAACCCCAGTGCTGCTTAGACAACTACTCTGCATTGTGTTTTGGACAATTTATCACTGCGTGTACCTGCGTCAGCAGTTACAATTACCTCTGAGATTTAGTGCACCAGGAAGGGCTCCAATTTCAACAGAGCCATGCCATGCAGCATAGATGGAGAGAAATAGGAATTTTTTTCAGAGTTTTATTGTGTCCTTTCCTGTCTGTGTCCCCCCACATTGCCCAGAGGGATTTTGTCACCTCCTTGAGTATTTTCTCGTGGTAACTTCTCACCACTTAAGATTCTCGGCATTCACTGTGCGAGACCTCACCGACTACCAGCGCTCGTGTGGTTAATGGGTGAGAGAAGGGGAGAGAGCACATCTGAAAGGAATGCAAAGAAACATAAACAATTTTATTAACAAGACCACAAAATTATTTTTTAATATATGCAGCCATTTACAAGGAGCAAACAAACAAACAGAAAAACCCACTGGGGAGACATGGTCGGCGTCAGCGACCACAGAGAGCGTACACACAGATGGTATGTGCAGGTCTGGGTAGGGTCCCTTTCCTCCAGCCCCTATGAGCATGATAAGCCTGTGCAGACCTGGCCCTAAGGAGGGGGGGTGTCACGAGCATCCTGCTGCGGTGCCAGGGACGATGCCAGCTGGGTCAGGGCTCGGGCAATGGTGGAGAGGTGGCTGTTCATCGTCCGCAGCTCGGCCAGGATGTCGCTCACGTTTGCCGACGCCTGCTCGGAGCTCGGGGGCATGGCATGGGCAGCTGGTGGTGGGGAAGCAGCCCCCGGAGCACTGTTTCCCATAGGTGCTGCCTGGGGATTCTCATCATGGGAGGGCTGTGGGGGTGGGCTGCTGCAGGGCTTCATGCCTTCCAGGGAGCCTGTTCTTACGGGTGGCTGGTCTTCCTCCTTCCCTTGGATGGTGGCAAGTGTTGCCGAAGCGAGGAAGGGCAGCCAGTTGATGAGATGGGTGGCACCGCTGGGTGGGACTATTGGCAAATAAATTCCAGGGTGCAGGGATGGAGCAGAGGCAGGTGGTGCAGGAAGAGAAGGAAGTCCAGGGAGAACAGTGGCAGCAGAAGTGGATGTTGATGGTGAAATAGGAGGTGGTTTGGGACATAAGGCTGCGACACAGGCAGGTAACGGTGGTGAAAATGATGCAGTACCAGTGTCAGAGGAAGAGCAGGGTGATGCTGGAGCTGTGAAAGGTCCAGGTTCTTCAGAGGTTGGTGGTGAAGTGGCAGCAGGGGGAGCATCAGGTGTGCAAGGATCTGAATCTGTAAGGAAGACACATCATGAGCCTTGATTTACACATTTTACTTACATACACAGACTGTTGTCTGCTGTCCCCTCAATGGGACCAGGTCTTCTGAAAGGGGGAATTTCATCAGCTGGCAGTGATACTCTCTGTAGGCCAATTAGAAAAGAACAGATGTACTCAAAGACAAGAGTCTATTGTAGGTAAACATGAACTTAATATTATAAAACTAAATTAACTTTCCACCCTTATTCTTCATAAAGCCTGTGGACAGGCCTGAACATTTTTCTGGTTGGCGTCTCATAGCTGTGCATTAGCTGGTGAATTCCCTGCTGTGTTTTCCTGGCCAGCCATAGAATGATGGTAATGTCCTAACTGACTCAGATCTCCCCTGGAGATGTGAGGGCTGGATAGTTGCTGCCAGAGGCAAAGTTAATTGCTGCTTTATAGAGGGTCCCAGTTTTCAGCATTTTGATTTGAATAGACAACTAAACACCAGAAACAGTAAGAGCTACTTGGTGGCTTAAACTCTTCAATAATTTTATTCTTTTTTGTATGTGGAAACATGACTGAGTTTACACAATCAAACTTAGATATATATCCCTACCTAGATTCCTTCATTAGCTTCAGCGATGAAAATCAAATCAAAAAAAGAACAAATAGAGAAAAAGAAATTGTTGACACTGGCCATCCCAGCCTGACACCTGTGCTCTCTTGCCAGTAGTTCAGTGGACCTCATCCAGTGTCCCCTATGGCCATTAGAAACGTGCTTTCTTGGACTGAATCCATCAGATACAGTCTAGGATGATAGAGCAGCCCCTAGGGGATACACAAAGGCTTGGAGAACCACACTAAGGTCCAAGGTGCTCTACCCACTGTGCCCTTACTGTATGGTAAGGATGATCCTATTTCTGTGATCATTCTGAAAGCCAGAAATATAATAGGAAATGTTTGCTTTTCAACAGCCTCAAAGATATGCATTGGTGGAATTACTATACCACTCTGCAGATTTTTATTTTAGCATTGGGAACACATTATACAGGAGGTGGTGAGATGCTACAGGAGTGGTCAGTGTAAGACAGATGGATTTTAAAACTACTTCTGCTGCAATTAAGTGCAAATTTTAAGGCACTACTGTGGATACAAAGACACAAATTAATAGATTTATCTAGGTTAAAACAACCTAGAGAAAGCCAAGTACTAAGGTGTTAACACCATATTATTATTATTTCTGGCATCTAAAAAATTTGATGTGAGAAATCCATTTTCATTACTGGCTGGTTTGATATTCCAGATAGCAAACTGAAACTGACTCAAAACCAAAGAAGGCTTCTCCCTGTCATTTCTAACACCAAACCAACTGGACATGCAGCAAGCAAAAGTCCATCTTTGTCCCACATGGGACCACCATGTTGTTCCTAATCAAACACATATGTGGCTTAGAGGGGATTATGACACAAAATTCAGACTGCCTTTAGGTCCCTGAGGTTTTTATGGAAAGTTACTGTAGGTTCCTTGAAACAGTTTCCTTCCTTTGTATATTGGCTTTCTTCCCAATACAAAGTCCTTGCCTTCACAGGCACTCGATCCCTGTCCAGTAGAGGTTGGCTAAGGATGCTGGATGTTGGGTTTCCAAAGTGCTATTGATTTGTCTTTGGTTTTTCAAAACAAAAACGAAAAAAAAAGCACAGTTCAAATACAGGTTCCTTTTCCATCCAAACCACCAAAGTTTGCAGGGCTGAGATGAAAGGTTCAGGTTTGGCTCCACTGTGGTGTTAACCAGAACAACGTTTATGGTCTGTATATAGCATGGCTAATGCCTGTCCACACTGCCCAAACAAACCAAATTAAGTGTAACATTTTTCCATATATTAGAGAGCAGAGAAAGCTTGACAAACCTTGATGTAATCTGGTTTGCTACTGTGAAAAATAACTGTCACAAATGATTCTTAAATGGTCAAAGAGCAAGCGGGGTTAAAATACAAGTAATGGCAACTAATAGAGACAAAAATAGAGGCAGAAATCAGGACACCAAGGGCTCCTCCTTTTGGCTGAAATCTTTTCAAATAGCATGGTTTCCCTATCAGAAGCCACAGCTTTGTCATCCCCCTAATCTCCCCTTAAGGTTTACTTATGCCATGCAGCCTTTAAACACAACTTGCTCAGCTTGATCAGGCTCCCTTACTTCCATCCAAGAAATTCCACAGGGGTGTCTGGACACTCGCACAGGAAACCTCACGTATCCAGGACATGTGGAAGCTGTTGCACTGCTCAGATCAATGGGAATGTGCACAGCTGACAAGAGTACTCTGTGCACCCAGAGCAACTGCTGGTCTGGATGGGGTCTGATCCAACTGCTCAGTTATCTGAAGACCCACACTGATGATGGAAACTGCAGAATCTCAGCATCACTGAGGTTGAGAGGGATCTCTGGAGACTGCCTAATCACAGCCTCTCCTCAAAGAAGTGTCAGCAACTTTTTCTACATGGACAAAATTGCTAGGGCATGTTTGAGAAAGCCCAACAATGCGGGAGTTCTAAACAGGATGAAGCATGAAACAAACAACTTCTGTTGCCTATCACATACAACAGGATGATTCTATTTATTTCCTTCCTCTCTAATTTTGTTTTATTTTTTTTCTCATTGCAACTTGTCACAACTTTAGTGCTTGTCTTTTCGTTTTTTTGTACAGCCCTAGCAGAAGGAGAGTCTCAACTGGAGCATCCAGGGGCACTCTCATTACTGGGTGTTCAGTCAACATCTAGACAGAGCTGTAGCTAAGTGGGGTTGGATGGATGCCTGCAGAGAAGAGAGATGTTGGACACAGGGTGCTCAGACAAGTACAGTGACCTTCACTAAACATATCAACTCACCTGTGCATGGTCATTCAGCGTCCTCCAGTACACCCAGTCTACAGAGGCTGGGTAGGTTTTGTAGCATACTCCCACATCCAAAGATTGACTGTTCAAGGCAGGCTTGTAGCTTAGAAGAAAAGTTATTTTGCCAGCTAAGGAAGCTAACCCAGGTCTCAGAAAACTTGGTTGGGATCAGCTTCATTTAAACAATTGAATTGTAAGTGCTTAGTGAAGAAATTCCACGAAAGCCCTATATTTTCCATGAGCTGTATCTCTCTGAGCAGCCTTGCAGTCACTTCTTTTCTACTGAGAGCATAGGGAGCTTGGCCTCCTTCAGGAGGATTGGGTTACTGAGATGGGATTCAGGTCACAGAATCACAGAATATCCTGAGTTGGAAGGGACCCACGAGGATCACTGAGTCCAAATCCTGGACCTGCACAGGACCACCCCAAAAACCACATCACGTCCCTTGTCCAAGTGCTTCTTGAACTCTGTCAGGCTTGGTGCCACAACCACTTCCCTAGGGAGCCTGTTCCAGTGCCCAACCACCCTCTGGGTGAAGAACTTTTTGCTAATATCCAACCTAACCCTCCACTGACACAAATTCATGCCTTTCCCTTGGGTCACCTTTAGCTTTCACAGTCTACAGCATAGTTCTATGTCTTATCTAACTCCCAAGCCTTTCTTCACAGTCAGCAGATTAGGTCTAGCACCACCTCTTGTTTGCTAGAATGAGAAATATTTATCCTCACCTCTTTACTTGGAATAATGTAGGATAACTGACTTGCATGTGGATGTCGTACTGAAAATGCCTACATTGCAAAAGAGAACTCCTAAACAAGATGTATAAAAATAAGATGAGTGTTCACATTAGAAACATTCCCTATCCTTCTCATCTACTATGGATCTTCCAAAGGAAAGCCAATGTACATCTTTGTGTTACCTATTTACAAGTAAGAGGGAATACTTCTGCTCTGTCACCTCCAAGAGGACCTTGGGGTATTAAAAACTCACAGGGCTGTAAATAGTAGGTGTTAAAGTAATGAGAGGGAGCAGAGGAGCACCTCCAGGAGAGGATTTCCTGGTATTTGTCCTGCCCATGATGATGGATGTTAACAAAAGATTGATGGTCTGCCTGTAAGTATGGTGAAATTGAAGTTACTTTAAATGCATTCATCTGTATGAGAAGAGCACGTATTTCACTTTACAGGCAGTCTTGGCTATCTTAACTGCCTTTGTTTGACTACTGATTTTATCTGTCTTGCAGCCAAATTGCTGCAAACTCTGATTTCTTAGTCTTTTTTCAGCTCACAAGTGAAAGGTCTGTGAAGAAAAAACCTTGAGGGAAAAGCAGAAGCATGACTTTCCATGGACTCAGCTCATCTAACATTAGCCCTTTAGCTGGAATCTAGTTAGAGGCAGTCATCCTAGATCCAGCTGAGAAAGAAGCACCTCTGGGGACAAGCCGGTCCAAGCTATCAGGTCCCTAAGAAGGGTGGGGCATCATGCTCTGAAGTGTCCCTCTCCTCCCAGCACTTCTTGTACGAGAAGTCAACTACCTTAGATAGAGCAACTTCTAAATAGCTACAGTTGTGTGAGCTGGATTCCTCACTTTATGTGTAGATGTAGCAAGTAATTTCATAGAATCACAGAATGGGTCAGGTTGGAAGGGACCACAGTGGGTCATCTGGTCCAACCCCCGTGTTCAAGCAGGGTCATCCCAGAGCACATGGCACAGGATTATGTCCAGATAGTTCTGGAATATCCCTAGTGAGGGGGACTCCACATCCTCTCTGAAAAATCTGTTCCGGTGCTTGGTCACTGCACAGTGAAGAAGTTCTTCCTCATGTTCAGGAGGAGCTTCCAATGGATCAGTTTTTGCCTATTGTTGCTTGTCCTATTGCTTGACAGCCCCAACAAGAGCCTGGCTACATCCTCTTGGCATTTGTAATTTCCTATCAAATCAGAATACTAAAGGGGTAGTGCTGCCTCTGTGTTCCTGTGGAACGCATAAAACCACAGAGATAAGGTTTAAGATGCAAGAGTGTAGAATCTGAGAACCTTAGAGAGCTTCAAGAAATGAGATGGTGGTTGAGAAGGTGATAATCTTTCAAGTGGGTCAGGACTGAACAAACAATCTATTTCAACAGTACCAATACTTA